GGGGGGGGGATTGTGCTAGGAGGGATTAAACTCAGTCTCACATATGCCAAGAAATCAATGTACCACTGAGTGATATCCTGAGCCCTCCTTAATTCAGTTTTTTAAGAAATCTGAGAAATGTAATGATGTATTTTTTTTTTTGGTACCAGGAATCGAACTCGGGTCCTTGTGCTTGCACAGCAGGCGGCAAAACCACTGAGCTAAATCCCTGGCCTGAACTCTGTATTTTATTTTATTTTTTATTCTTTTTGGTACTGGGGATCAAACTTGGGTCCTTGTGCTTGATGAACTCTGTATTTTAAAACCTTCAAAATGCTCATCAGTAGGTACGGTAAATTTCCAACCATCAGGGAGGTACTTACCCTCTTCCACAATCTCAATCATTCCTTGATACTCAGTCTGTGTTGGATCAACACTCCTCAGAGGACGAATGACTTTACCAGAGTAGATGGTAGGATCAGCTTCCTCAGTAATACCATTCACTGCAGAACAAATGCATGTATATGTCATACTCAACAACCTTATTTAAACTCTACCCAATGGGAAAAAAGAAAGCAAAAAGTATCAGTGTAAATGTTAACAAAGTAGGGGGTTTGCCTACTACTCTTGAAATGAGGCAGGAAACCTGAAACCAAGTTCTGTTTCTAGAATAGTTGCTTGACTTAAACTTCTAGGTAACTAAAATGACTCATTTTACTAAATATGGTAAATGAAACCTGTTTAGGGAATTAACAGTATTGATTTTAAAACAGGTCTTGCTCTCTCCCCCTTTTCAGTGACCAAATGTCACCTTTTTAATAAGGCCTTTCCTGGTCTCTTAAGATCAAAATGCCAATACTTACACCTATACAGGTAGTTCTGATTTATCTTAAAAAACAAAAACAAAAAACCATGTATTACATTTTCTAAATGAACAACTTTTAAAGATTTTTTTGGGGGGCCGGGGATTTAGCTCAGTGGTTTCACCACCTGCCTTGCAAGTGCAAGGACCAAAGTTCGATCCCCCGTACCAAAAAAAAAAAAGTTTTTTTTTTGACAATCAATATTTTATTCTATTTTTTTGGTACCGGGGATTGAACTCAGGTCCTTGTGCTTGTGCAGCAGGCCACAAAACCACTGAGCTAAATCCCCGGCCCCAATAATCAATATGTTAAACAACTTAATATTTTACTCCTCTTGTCTGTCCATTTTCTCCACCCAACAATAAACTGATGAAAGCAGGGATTTGTCTGGTTTCTTTACTGTATCCCCAAGTGTCTAAAAAAATCACACCTAGATATTTATGGAACAAAAAGAATGGGTTCAGCTATCAATCATTTCTCAAGTCTCAAGGCAAAATGTTTTTGGAAAGTTGAGATGAAAGCCAAAACTTAGTTGTATGTCTTAAAAGTCAGGGATCATAAATGATATAATTTTCTTAATTTCCCATTTACAATCACTCTCTTAAAAATAGCCTTCCATGGAAATGCCTCTCCTTAACCCTATGGAGATAATTACTGGGTCTTGTCTTTCCCCACCCTACCCTTTATCTTCTACTCAAATACAGGCTGAATACCTTACCTGAGTGAGTTTTGTTTACTTTTTCAGCGCTGACTTTGTTGCCTTTGCCTTTGGACAAGCTGTACTCAACCATGTCCCCCAGTTCCAGGCTATCAACATCACCA